AGCGCGTTTTCGTTTTCTGAATGAACGAATTTTTCCTGTTTTAAATTTGAATAGTACTTATGTAAAAATGAGCACGTCAAAACGACGAGATCTCAGCTTATCAGAGAAAAAAAATTTTCAGCCCGTTTTTTCTAAAATAACCAAAGGAAATCTAGAGTTCCTTTCTCAGAATGATAACCAAAATTAAAAATAAATTCTAATGTTTATGTACCTTCATTTACCAGCATAATAAACACTCTCTTGTTCATGATTTTGATTTGTTTCAAGTTTTCCTATCTCTGATGGTGGTTTTCGCTTATTGTTATCAGTCGGTTAGTGTGATCAATTTGTCTGAGTCCCAAAGTGATCACATTAAGCGGCGTCCACTGTACCTACTTGGAAACATTGTATCTCCCGGACACAAACTTAACATCTGCGCGTTTTGTGAGCATTTAATCTAGAAATGAGCATCGGCGTGGCAAATAACTGAGCTGTCTGTAAAGCAGCTTAGAAAACGAGTAGGATCGTTGTAAGAGTGAATTTTAACTAAACATGGTGACTTTCATGAATGTGGAATGTCGTCAAAAGGTGCATCCAGTTTGAAAAACACATTAGGAGCAGGAATATCGAAAACTTTTCATGTAATTAACTTTTATTTATGCATAAATTGTGCAGTGCGTTTTTTCTAACACTGGCCATAGAGATTCCCATTTCAAGGTGTCTACCCCATGCTAACTTATATTTTGGTAACGCGATTTTTGCCTTGATGGTTGAACACTGTCACTGTTGTCCTTTTTTGTTGTATCGAGATGCTACTTGAGCATCAACTGTTACTTACTGAAGTATTAGTATCATCTAGAAAAACTAAAAATATTTTGATTTGATATTCGAGTAGATACTTCGTCTTTCAAGTATGAGCATCTACTGAGTTTTATTTATATCAACCATTGTCAAAAAATTGATCGAACGTTGTTTCGACAGAACTTCCTTCGCACCAAAAGTATAATGAAACCTATTCAGCATTTTCGAGTTGAGTCTTTTCTTCACACAATTTTGTGATGACCTTAATCAACATTTACTATCAACACGTATACCACCTTGGATTGGTGCAGTGTAATACTAAAAATGACTGTATTGTATTCCCAAAATTATCTGCGAAAATCGAGTGAGCCATTCCATCAATTTTTTGGGGGGAATAAATAAATATTATTAACAATTTACCATGCTCACAATAACTTTAAAACGTCTGCAAGATCTCAAAGTACTTATTCATTTTTGAAACTCTTGAGTTATTCACTAAAATAAATTGACTGATCCATATATTTTTTTGATTCACTGTAAAAGCAAATTTAAAAAATATGAATGCAATGATAAATTACGAAAATATACTGATGATGTTTTCCACATTTTAGATAGGATTTATTCGGCAAAATCTTGAGATAACGTCTTCAAGTTTTTGGGCTTGATAAACAGATATATTTTGATTGAAAATAATCTACCATGTCAAACAGTAACTTCAGAACGTCTACAAAATTTCAAAATTCAGTTTTGTAATTCTTGATTCAATCAATAAAATAAATTGACTCAGTGATTAATTTTTTGAGACACCCCCTATAAGCAAAAGTAAAAAATATGAATGGAATGATAAATCACAAGTATAGTTTCATCCTATTTTGGACATTTTAGATAGGATTCATTTGGCAAAATTTTGGGCTGACGTCATCAATTTTTTGGAGGGGATAAGTAAATATATTTTGAATACAAATTTATTATGCTTATCATATGTTTAAAACATCTGCAAGATTTCAAAGCATTCGATTTTGCAGATTCAAAATTAAATTGTAGGTGAAACGAAGTTCACGGGGTCAGCTAGTTATTAATAAACCGCTGAGCTACCACAGTATTACTTAGTTAATAAGGTGTTAGTACTCGTGTTGTTAACTTCTTTAAATACATAATTGACACTTTATACTTGTCATCATTGCCATTAGGTAGGTATATCAACGACGCTGCGGTTTGCAAGACAAAAAACGTTAAATGCAGTTGGTTGCAAAAAAAAAGTAAGACTGTGCAACTCGAGTGGATTGTCCATATCACCTTCGGGTGACTTAAACTCACTCATGTCGTTACTAAGTTTACTGTCGTCCTTAGGTGATCATATCCACTCTTGTTGTACACTCTACTATTATATCCATAATCAACGTTATTTTGAGCATTTTCAAACGGTGCGTTACGCATGCAGAATTTTCCACCGTATTGCTGCTTCTGTGTGCGACAAATACGCAAACAAAACCAGCACCTTGAAGGAGTTCGATGGTATGAAATTCTTCGAAATTATTGTGTACAAAATAGTGTCACAAAAGATTCAACAACCTTGACTCTCAAAGTAAAACTGTGTTGTTTGCTAAGTAGGTACACAGTTTTTTAATTCGCACACTAAACGGATTAATCGAATTTCAATTTGATACAACCGTGATGCAACTACGGAAACTACATTTCACATTTCACTGCCCCTCTATTATTGAGTCACACTGTAGAGCTGTAGAGTAAATAAATTTCAATAAATTAGATTCGAAATAAATTTGTGGGGAAAATTTGTTCAACCGGGGTTACATTATTTCATTGTCATTAATGATATACAACTTTTTCGTCCTAAGCGTAAACTTAATTAATAATTTTAGTCCTCTGTTTTGAGGCGACAAACTCACGCAAATCAAACAAATTTGTACGTGACATTCCTCTGATAAAAATAAACTTATAAACACTTGAAGTTAAAGCTTGTTATTATAGCTGAGAGGTCATTTTTCGCGTTGGTTATTTGCTTTAAATATATTTTACATTGTCTGTACTTGTGCGGCGTCCCTTTGTAGTTTGCGTCCCCACGGCGCAGGAGCTGCGGGGGTGTTATTTAGGCCGCTGGTTTTTATTTTATAGCGGAATTTGTTAGATTTGTACTTCAGACGCGAGGAAAGTTTTGTCGAAATAAACTCCACCATTTTTTTTAAATACTGTCGAAGGCTAACTAAATAATTAACGCAAATTTCAAAATAATTAAAATTAACTGTTTTTTTTTTTCATGTTTGTACAAAAAATACAATTATCGTTTGTTGATAAATCATTTCAATACTTTATTTTATAGTTATGTTTACTTTATAATGTTTGCAAATGAGTAGCTGATAAATTCGAAAAAGTCAAATTTTTACGTGAGAAATGAGAGCAAACAAAAAAAAATAGAATGATTTGTTCTTGTTGTAAATGTAAAATATAATATAACATCTCTAAAAGTTTGAAATATGCATGTACCCATCCGTTAATGTAATCGTTTTTGCAATTTACTGCGAAGTACGTCAGTTGCTTAGAAAGTCAAAAATATATTTAAAGTTTTAAAAACGGGCACATTAAAAACACTTATAAAAACATTCAAATACAATTGCATTAGATAATTCACAACATTAACTAACATTGATTGATTTCATCTCTTTCAGAAATGTGATGGCGCTTTAAAACAGGGTCAGAAAAAAATCGGATTTTTTTAAATCAAAAGTCAGTGATTTAAGAAAATGCGATTCTTTTGATATTTTTTTATTTTTCAATTATTCTGAGTTAAAACTCTTAAAACTAACAAAAAAATCAAAAGTTGTTAGGTTTAATTAAGTCCATACAATTTTTAATAGCGCTTTTTATTTAATTTAGTGTAATTTTCATTTTGTACTATATATTTTAACACATATTCACAGCAATGCGGCTCGAGAATTTATTTTGATTTAGATTGTTAAATAGTAATAGTGTTACATATTTAATTATATTTACAATTTTTACGCCAATATTTCTAATTAATGTTTTGTTGTACGTGTTCTTAAAATAAAAAAAAGATCTAGACCGCACTTCTTTCACCTGTAAAGCACAATCCAACAAACACAGCTTCTTAGAAAAAGTATAACCTCTAAAAGTAAAAAAAAAATCCGGGCGGATTCATGAATCACAAATTTTGGAGTATGTTATTTTATAAAATTTAAATAGCATTTACTGTGCAAAAGTTTTAGTGATGTTATCAAATGTTAATTGTTTGTGGGAATGATCAGATAAATTTTGGTTAACGTTTTACCATCTACACAATATTCCTAAAATACAAATAAAACAATCAATCCAATAGTTTCGGAGATTATCTGCTTAATAAAATTGACACAGACGAGAGACGAGAGGCAGATAGACGGAAACGGGAAACGTATTTTTTCGTATTAAAGAAGTCATGAAACGTCAAGAAAATGTGATAACAGCTTACGCTCGGGAAGTAAAAATTCAAATGAAAATTAGCGTTTTATTTTGTTGGAAATATTTTATTCTAGTAAGTGTTCAATTTATTTTGATTTAAACTGCATTTAAAAAGGTCGTAATATGTAATGTATAAAATACGCTGTCATGTGATATTTTTTCTGTTTTAGTAATATACCTTTATTCCTTAGGAACACAGATAACTCCAAAAATGAATGCATAATTTTCTCGCGGACGACTCTTCAAATTCTCCAAAATCTTGGAAATATTGTTATAGTTTTTGTTACATTGTACATGGTAAGATCGGTATATGTACCTAGGTATTTATTCTCACAAACAAGTTTGGTAATGTCATTTCAAAAGGTTATTTAATCGATTTTATTTTCTTAAATTCCACGCTGATTTTAAATATGAAGTGGTTAGCAGTTATTAAAAATTTATTACAATATATAGGCCATCCACCAAAGTAGTGCTGTTACGACTTTGACTCCTTCGCCACTCTCGTCAACGATAATGCAGCTTATTAGATGAAAATTTATGAGGCCATCCCAAACTAACAGGTAGCGGTTCTTTGTTGTGTGTGATCGGCATGGACTCTTCAACTTATCTGTTCAGAGGTGTTAGTTAAGATATTATTTCTTTACAAACTGGGTGTTTGGAAAACCCAGTATCATAAAACCATAATTTTCGTGGATTGTCTATCTTTTTTTTTTTTTTCAAAAAATCGATGGAATATTTTTTGATGGACGATTCAGGCCCGGTTTTACAATGCAAGCTTAAGCGAGGTTCAAAGATAAGCCTTGGTTCAACTGCAGTTGTCCGTTTTACAATACATGGTTCAATGTTAAACCGCGCTCAAACGAAGGCTCAGCTGAGCGCTGATGTCAGGGTGGTTTTAAAGTCCCTAGATAACCAAAGTACCGCAATTGAATGTTTCAATGTGTTAGAGAGAGAACGTGTATTTCGGACACAATATGGCGACCGACAAACGTCAATGTTAATTGTCAAACGCCGTTTGTGTTTTTTGCAAAGTTGTTTGTGTTTTTTGTAAAGTTGTTTGTGTTTTTTTGTGGTGTTTTATGACTTTTATTTTAAAATGCCAAGTTGTTGTGTTCCTTTGTATGGAAATAAAAGCCCATTGTTTCGTCTTCCAACAGGTAGGTTACAACTGAGTTTTCAATTGAGTTTTCTCAACTAATTTAAATTGTTGCAGGTGTTAGTAATAGGGCTAGACTAGAAGAGTGATGTGGGAGAATTTAATAGGCCGGGACGATTTGAACGACAACTCCAGAGTTTGCGAAGTAATTTGTTTAAAGCTTGAATATGTAATTGCACAATGTTAAATACTATTTACTTTTAGTTACATTTTTCTGAACAACAATTTGAAGCAAAGCGAGCAGATGGAAGGAAACTATTGTGGCCGAAATTTTGTTAATAAACTGATATTGCAAGGTTTCTCATCTATATTTTTTACTCACGCCTTATGTTTATCAATGGCATTTAAGTGCATTGAACAAATAACGCTTAAACATAAATAAATGTTTATTTGAAAAAAATCTACATTTACGCTTTATACGCAAGTATCGAGTCCGTTAATTTTTATTTATTTATTTTGAATATGGCGCGGACACAATATGGCGTCCAATTGCGGTACTTTATCTATCTAGTGACTTTAGGTGGTTTAAGCTTCGCTCAACTGTCCATAACCTCAAATGTCTGTGCTTTATCGTTTTGGTGGTGTGACAGCATTATAATTGAAGATGGAAAATTTATTAGGAGTATTAACTGACGATGAAGACGTTTTAGAAATGATAAACATATTAGAACCGGCACGTATGCGACGACCAAAAGTTTTTCAGTTGAGAGAAAATCACTTTGAAAAGTGAAATGCTGGGGAATTTTTGAAACGATTTCGTTTTTCCAAGACTGGCGTACGGTTTATTTTGCAACAAATACAGGAGCAAATTACATCGCGAACAGAAAGAAATCATGCAGTATCACTGGAGCAAATGCTACTTGTGACTTCACGTTTCCTTGCCACTGGATCTTTTCTGCAAGTTGCTGGTGACTTTATAGGGATTAGTAAAGCAACAGCTTCTCAAATAATTAATGTTTTGGGGTGTGGAAAAGACGCTTTCCAGCATTGGCTTTTGGAATTCGTTTAAAAATGTGTAAATTAGAGGCAGTGGTTGTGGCAACAGCAGTTTTACACAACATTGCAATTATTTTAAATGAAGAAGAACCGCCAGTGGACGCAGAAGAAGAAGCAGCAGTGAATTTTGTGAACGATGTTCTAATTGAAAACATTGGAGAATATAGTGGCAATTATAATCAGAACAATTTTGTACGGAACCAGTTCATCAGAGAATATTTTACTCATTTGCTTTTTTTGATTTCGTTTTTAGTTGCAGTAAATAATAAAATGTAATGTAATTATTTATTTAAGTTTTATTATTTAAAATATTAAATTTTTGGGCAATTAATATTTCAATCTTCATTTGGTGTTCTGCTTTATTACTTCTAATTCAAGTGCAGCTTTGTCTCTCATAATTTGCATTTCTAGTTCATGTTTCTCTTTCATGGCTTTTAATTTAAACTCTTGCTCCTTTTGGATGTATTCCTTTCGACTTAGTTCGACAAGTTCTTTGGCAGCGGCACATTGCTCTAAATTATCACTTGTCTGGTTTCCTTTACCTATACAAACAATACATTAATAAAGTTTTAAGACAAGTGTCAAACATTTTTTAATATAAATATATATACATATAATACCTCTACGCTATGGCGTGAGTGCTGAAAATTTGTTTTGCTTCAAGATTTTGGGGGAGTATTTAGCCCAATTCCCAGTTTGACCATTTTCTACAAAAATAACCATATTTGATTATTATTAATGTTTACCACTTTCTTTATTGGGACCACTTATTTTATCCATAACAGGCACTTCTCTCGAAATTGCTCCGGTTTGATCTTTTGGCATAAAACAATCTGAAATAAAGAAAAAATAGTAAAAAATTTCTGAATAAAGTGTATGTAAGGATAAAAAGTATTTACCATCATTTTCGTCATCAGACAGATTATACCGCTGTTACTTTGGAATGCTGAAAAGCATCAACATTTTAATTTTACAATACATATTATTCATAAAAATACTTATTACAGGTTGTTTCGGAATCGCCATCAAATTCGCTGCTATGCCCCATTGGTTTGGCCCCGAGAATTTCTTTTACAGCCACATCAACATCGGTGGCCTCAATACTTTGTTGTGACCCTCTCCCAGTACCACCGACATAGGCTTTCTCGTCAGCAAATTTTTTCGTTGTCCTCTTCTTAATGTTGTCGTACTTTTTGTTCAAAACTTTGTGATCCCGGAAGGTCTGGCCAGATAAAGAATTGAACTCTACTTCAATTTTCTTCCAACACTGATTTTTTTTTTTTTTGATTTGCATCAGTGTTGGACAATTTACACTCCAGAATATTTCTATACTTGCTTACTAAAGATAGGAGCAAGTTTTCTTCGGATTTTGTAAAATTCGGAGCACGTGTATTACTCATCTGAAACGAAATGTTAAAAACCATCATAATCATCTACTATTAACGAGCAAATGTTACATATACACATATACGTACCCCAGTAACGCAAAAAACTAATTACTTTGCAGAATTTGTCACAAATAATTTATAATAATGTGACATGATGACATAGATGACAACAACAACACACCACAGAACACTCACTAATAGATATGCAAAGTCCCTACAAATTTCAAGAAACACAAAAAGTAGAGCCACCTGGTGTCGTAGTGGCCCAACTAACGAGCAAGCGCGTAGTTTAAAAGTCAGTACCATGTTTTTGTTTATTAAATTTAATTCTAATTTCACTCATTTTTCAATAAAACCCAGATATGCTGAAAAAAAAATGTATTTATTAATTCCATAATATATTACAATACATAATGACCTAAATAAATATATTTTCAATAAAATTAATCAAGCACAAAACGATAAAAATATTTCAAGCAAAATAATTCTTTGGCATGCATAAACAAGTATAACAAAAAATAAAAATATTAAAAAACAAAACAAGTTATTCTCTTAATATACAATATAACAAAAACAAAACACAAACGGTACAATAAAATGAACACATTTTCTAACAGTCAATATTTGGTTTAATGTCGCAGCCGAAAGTTAAGTCACAGCCAGTATTTCAGTCAAAATTGGGTTGTTCAGTCGAAATTAGGGTGTAAAGTAATGAAAAAATTTAAAAATACTTTAAGCAGTTTTCTTAAATCTTTTCATTTTGGTGTGATGACCTTCACTCAAGCCTTTCCTTTTCTTTCTATCTCTAACATACTTGTAAATCAAAAACCTCGTACACTTGTCCAGAATCATACCAAAACAATCATGTCTCTCACAAACAGTTTGCCCAAGACCACATGTTAACTTGTACTCAGATTTGAAACGACTCTCCAAATTTGTTTGATGAGCATTCTTGTCCAAAAATGTGTACAAATTGTCATGTATGTTTCGAACAAACAACATTACATTCTCATTTGCATACATCAGTCTCAAGTCATCATCGCCACGGTCTTTGAAGTACGTTAACAAATGAGATGGTAACATCTCCGTGGTAGTCAACGCACTCTGGCAAGCATCGCAAATGGATATATCTATCTGTTTTAAAATATAGCCTGAAACATGGGCTAATCCTTGACTGTCTTCGTCCGACACCTTTTCAAGGTTTTCAAAACAAATACATGCGTCCAAATTTGATGTGCCACTGACCTCTTCCTCGTCAAATTCAGTTACTTCTTCCACTTCCGCAGTTTCAGTCTTCTCTGCATATTGCAGCAGGTTTCGGAGATTTTCCAACGGCGTGCAACCATCATCTTCACAATTCCCCTCTGTTGTTGGGGCAACAAGCTTGTTTTCAGGGCGGCAGTGAACCTGTACTTTCCTTCACACTGCAAATTTCCTTCCATCTTCTATGCACTTCTGGGTCCTTCGGGAACTGAAAATAGTGCTTGTTTCCACCACCTGTGATGTATGCATTGTTGCAACCTGGAAATTTGCAGTATTTCTTCCTCTTTCCCTCCATAATTCCTGAAAATAAGTGAATGAAAATCTGATCAACAAATACTTAATTAATTGCAAAAACGTATTACAAAAATGGTGAAATTTTATACTTATCTTTACACAAGCTTCTAAAACACAACACTTCAAATCATGGCACAAAAATTCACTGACGCTAACCTGAAAACGCGGTAAACAATCAAAAACAAAACAAAACACAATGCACAACGCGTGAGCAGTTCATTGTTGGTGAAAGGAATTTTCGGTTTCCCACCAAAATCACACTGAAATCACCAAACTGCACCAAACTGTCACCAACGTCATTTCCCCTTGCCTCACTTCGTCCGTCGTGGCCCCTACAAACTCGTGTTGCTGGTTTGCCTATCTTGCTTTCACCCCTGTGCAACACACTTCCAACGTGCTCCCAACGTGGTCTCAACTGTCAGATTCTCGGGTGCGCGCTACCAACCTAAGGAAATTTGTGGTTCAGCTGAACCGGACGATAGCGGTGTTTGTAAAACGGACGCATGAATTGAACCTCAGTTCAGTTGAACTCGTGTTGAACCGGACATTTGTAAAACCGGGCCTCAGTGTAGTAGTGTACCACACACATATTTAAAAAGGCAAAAAAATATGTGAAGATATTTACGCCGAACATTATGAAAAGTAACCAATACCGATATTGGTTGTGCTACCGAGAGGAGGGAATTTCTGTTAATGATTTTACTTTTTTTTTTTTTCATATTAACCGAATCTAGGACTCTTGTCGTGTTTTAGAATCAGTAGTAGAAAATAAAATATTCGGTATATGTAGTTCGAATTTCGTTATCTCAAATTCCTGTTGTTTTAAATCCAATTACCTAGAATTCAGTTGCATCGAATCCCATTATTTCGAATCATGTTATTCTAAATTCTGTTAACAGGGTTTGAAACAACGTAAAATTAAAATTTTAAATTTTGGCATGGAATATTCAAATTTTGTTTAAAAGAATTCTGGGTAATAGAACGTCATTGTATAATTTCATAATTAAATAATGAGTTTCGAAATATGACGATTTTAATGTCAAGGGTGAGTCATGAATTTAATAAAGACAAGCCCGTTATCGCACAAAGCCACAATATTGATTGATGTTATAATTTTTCGTCTTGCTCTTTTTTGTACGCTGGACCGACACTAAGTTCCAAACTAAGAGTTCAAGATATAATCTAACCGCATTTTTTCGATAACAGCGAAGCGGTTAAACTGGACAATTGAAACTGAATAATTATAGCTGCTAGTAAGACATATTTCTCAAAATTTTCGTGAACACTCCACCAAGGGAAACTGGCAACAGCTAGCTTCTACTCAACTAGCAATTGAAGAACTCTTTAAAAGCATGAGAGTTCTTTAATGTATTATCCAAGCTATGGTTGAAAGTCAACATCGTTAATTTTCAATTTTAATTTGTGCTGCGGACACTGAAAGATTTTTTAAATTATTAAAAAATACGAATCCTGTGTTTATGTCAAGGTGTCAACGATATTTATGTATAAATGAAACAAGTTGATGGAAACATCATGATTAAAATGGAAATTCAGTGCAGTTACTGGCTGCAACTCGTTTATTTTAGAATAAAATAACGGTGCTTCGTTGTACTTCGCTGTTAATTCCCGTTCATTACGAATTAAGTTTTCGTTAATTGTATTTACGGAATAAGTAAAGTTAAATGCATTGATTATCACCCGCTACTGATTCGCAGCGATTCACGCTTCCCCACCTATAATCGTGACGTAGCCCGACAGAAATCCGCTCTCTAATAATCACAGAAGAGTCATCTTTTTGTATTTTTGCTGTATGTTATTTTTAGGATTAAGGCAAAAAGAAAAATGGAACGATTATCATATACTTCAATCATAAAAAATTGCCTCAAAAGTCCGAGAGAGAGAAAGAGAGAGAGAGAGAGAGAGAAAAGGAAAATTGTGCAGTTAAAAGTGTGCACGCTTGTCTTAAGTTACACTCGTACTCTCCTACTTTGCTTCACACATTTGCTTACACATATGTGTAGCAAATGTGCATCGCTATGCTAATGAACAAAGATATTTATTTCATGACAGTGGCGTGCATTTGTATTATTAAAAAAAAAATTGTAAAATAAAGACTGTGCACGAAAAAAATTGGCCACATAAAAAAATCAATAACCAGAAAATACTTAATATTATATTATCAACACTATCGTCAACAATTAACATAAACAATTCTGTATAACATGCTAATGCTATCATATAAATTATTTTAATCCATATCCGAACTTTCTCACTTTACTTCTGACGCTTCTCATCAAGTTACATACAGTAGTCGAGCCAAGAGCGGCAGACGCTTTATTGAACTCTTTTTCGAAGTCGGATAAGCTTGTGGGTTGTTTTTGGCTTTTTTTTAACTTCTGTTTCACAAGCGCCCAATATTTTTCTATTGGTCTTAGTTCATGACAGTTAGGTGGGTTTTTGTCTTTCGGGACGAAATTTATTCCATTTCTCTGGTACCATTCAAGAACAGTTCTGGCGTAATGACATGTCGCCAAATCGGGCCAAAACAAAGGAGGAGTGTTGTGTGACCTGATAAGTGGCATCAATCTTTTTTTGACGCATTCTTCCAGGTGAATTTCTTGGTTTACACTTCCTTTAGTGACGAAAGTCTTGCTGGTTTTGCCACATGTGCAGATGGCTTGCCAAACCAAAAATTTACCGGCAAATTTTGACATCTTTTGTTGTTTAAAATTCTTATCAACATCAAATTTATTAATACACGTAAAAAAAATTTTTGTCCCGGAAGCTGCTTGAAGTCACTTTTCACAAAGGTCTCATCGTCCATAATCACACATTCAAATTTTGTGACAATAGCGTCATACAACTTGCGTGCTCTGGTTTTTGCAGTACAGTCTTGCTTGTCAGTTCTGTTAGGGGCTTTCCGAACTTTAAATGTTCTTAGCCCTTTTCGCTTTTTTACCTTCTGCACCAAAGAAGATGATTTTCCGACTTTTTTTGCTACATCTCTCACCGATATGTTGGGATTTTTCTTGAAGATGGCAACCACTTTTGCTTCTGTTTTCTTGCAAACAGGACCCGTTGTTCTGCCCGTTTCTGGTTTGCGTTCTATAGATAAACGTCTAATAAAATTGTTTATGACATTTGCCACAGTTGATTTTCCAATACCCAGACGTCGGGCGATGGTCCGATACGATGCCGTAGAATCTTCGGTATATATGTGCAAGATTCTTTTTCAGAGAGCGTATTGTTTGGATTCCATATTCACTATTATTTGGCAGATCTTATTGCAATGACATTTCATGGAAACAACTGAACCTAAATAAACTCTCGACCAATGCCTACTCGATTATACCCTAGTTTTATGGGAATTATTATTATTTTTATGTGGTCAATTTTTTTCGTGCACAGTCTTTAAGTTAGACATTCTTCCAAAATACGGCGCTACTGAATTAAAACTCCAGCGTGCAGCGACTTGTCTCCACACACACTGAGTTATTCCCGCGCTGTTCTAACTGTGCATGCTAAAAATCAAGACAATTTTAATTCCAGCAGATTTGACTGCACATGCCACATTCTTCCCCACACATTAGGAGTTTTAACTGTACCCGGTGGCACGT